TACCACATCTGGAAGAACAGCCTGCTTTATTTAGTCTGCCAACCTAAACACCAGCCTCATCCAGAAGTACTCTCAGGCACACCCAGGATGTTTGACCAAGTGTCTCGCCACCCGGTATCCCAGTCGAGGTGACAAAATGTACCATCAGAGGTGGTAAGAGTAATCTCATGACTTCTGGGAAGCTGTTCTGTTGGGTGGGGGTGGGGGGAGAGGGGGGCAGGGGTAGGTCTCCATCCCAACTGGTCATCCTACCCCAAGTCTCATGTTATTTTTAGTTGAAGACATGCAAAGCATAAAAAAAAATTATAAAAATAAATACGAGACATAAAATGCACTCTTCAGAGACAGACACTGCTAAATTTTCTATCCTAAAAGTTTTCTGTGCACATGGTTAATATTTTGAACAAAAATAGAAACCTAGTGCAAGCCCAGTTGTGTGTGTGACTTTTTTTTATGCCTTCAGCATACCCAGTAGGAGGGATTGTACAGGGCATTACCACCAGGAGGTGGGGGTTATTGGAGTGCCTTAGAGTGGCTCACAGGTTTAAGCTTAGACGATGTTCCAACTGTCTTAACTGCTGCCGACCAGAAGGGACCTGATTGTTCACCTGCTCCATCAAGGGAGCTGTGCTATCTGGAGTTCCAAGATGGAGGAGCAGTTGTGAATCACTGGTGCCCAAGTCTTTGGTCTCAAGTGAACCCCCACCCCAAGTCTCCATGTGGCCCCAATGTCTGTGGAGTCATGGGAATTCTTCCGGAAAAATATCCCTGCATCATTCTAAGGTTTGGCAAACCTAAATATTGCTTTGGGCAAAGTCCAAATGTTCCCTGGTGCCAGCAAAGCCTGTGTCCTTCCTGTCTTCAATTAAACTGGACTGGTGGCCCCAGGTCAGTAGGGAGGGTTAGGAGGCCCCACCTGGGCTGCACACTGAAATCACCCAAGGACACCTGCTTCCTGCTGACTAGTCTCTGCCTCATGCATGTAGGGTGGTGATTGTCAACAGGAAACACTGGGCCACGTCAGGGGACATTGTGCCTATTGCAGCTGGGGGTCCTTGGTGCATGCTGCTGGCCTGCTTAAGCAGCCCAGGTGATCCTGGTGCACCTGTTGGGAGAACCCCACTTTGAGAAGCACTGACCATGAGCGACATATTCCGGCAGCTGCTTGCATGTGTTGCTTAGGTCTTCTTGGGTAACCTTTGTTCCTTCCCTCCTGTCCTGTTTGTCCATCAGCAGTAGGACCCAAAGAACCTCTCCCAAAGTATCCCCAACCCAGCACGAGTGTTCAGGAAAGGTCCAGAGACTCTTGGGAGTGGGGAAAAAAAGAAGAAAGAAGAACCACTGTCAACATCTCATCCCCAAAGCCCAAGGCTGCTCTAAATACCTTGATGAGAAGTGTGTAATGGATAATTGCCACTTGATCCCACACAAATTAGAAATAGGATATTTCTTAATATACCTGTCAGGTGCACTGAGCCAAAAAAATACTAAAAATTAAATACGGAATTAGGGTAAGTCATGACTGGGAAATAGCTTCCAGGAGTGGGTTGAGGCTTAAAATTTAAGGCAGTTACTGCCGCCATAGATGGGGTTATGAAGGTTTGTTTTCTCTGTCTCCACAACCTTGGCACATACTTCCTGGGTGCTAGACTACAAATCACCCATATCTAGTCTCAGGAAGCATCAAGAAAGAAACTGTCTTTTTCCCAGAAGCGACCTGCTCAATCAGTGGTTCTGCTCCCCAGGTGACACTAGGTGATATCTGGGAACATCAGTGGTTATCACGTTGGGGGTGCTTCTGGCATCAAGTGGGTGGGGCCAGGGATGTCACTGGACACCCTACAGTACCCAGGATGGGCCCCCAGAGAATGATCCAGGCAGATGTCAGTATTACCACCACCCAGTAGGCCCTGGATCGATGTGTCAAACGTGAACTTCCCAAACCATATTGCCACCAGAAAAAATAATTTGTTCATGTGCTATACACAGCAAGGATTTTATTTTTTTAAGTATTTATGCATACAAGAACTAGGGTACAGACCAGAGGTGTGGGGAGTGAGAGGATTCACCAGAGACAGTGGGAACAGAAGAGGCAGATTGACTGAAATCCACTGCGGAGGGGAGCAGCAAGCGAGTCAGGAGAGGTCTGCTGCGCCATGTGGGTAGCTCCCTGGCAGGGAATCAAACTCAAGCTGTGGTGTCTGTGGATAGCTTCATAGGTTGCCTCTTAACCCCTTGCGCCTCCACGGAGGCCCAGCAAAGATTTTATACCATCCTGGGTAACTTGAATACCCAAAACAAATGTGGCTTTCCATCCATCCCACCTTACAGAAAAAGATTATTTGCGAAGAGTTGCAGCAAAACTCCTTCCACACCCCGCCCCGTCCCCCGCCCCCCACTCCCCACTTCCTGGCCCTGGAGAGAAGTTGAGGTGATTGATTGCCCGCTCAGCCACCAGGTGGCGCACTGGTACCTCTTCCATCCTCGTAGCCGGAAAGGCACTCTCAGAAGGAATAAGGTTGCATGTAATCCTGAAAGCTCTCGGGGTGAGCTCGGAAACGGTCCCAGTCCTCGAGTTCAGCATTGTGCTCCTCCTTTTGAAATTATAGGCCCTCCCAACCAGGGACGTTCTGGTGGTCACTTGTGTTATGATGGGGCTGCCACCCCAAGTTGCCTAGTGCGTGATAGGGCCAGAGAGTATGAATCCATTCAATGTGAATGTGAAGGGTGCAGACCACAAATTCCGCCCAGCTCGAGCTGTTCTTCGTTCTTTTGTAAGCTCATGTAGGCCTCTCTCTCTCATTGCTGTACTTAAAATGTTTATCAAAGTATAAGGTACAAACACCAAAGTCCATAAATAAAAATTATAATCTGTCTAGAAAGCTAGGTGCCCATGCTTTGCAAGTCTGTGGGGTGCTTCTTGGCTGTGGGAACCAGCCTGTTTGCCGGCCAGCAGGGGCTAGGCCTGCTTGTCCCTGGGTGTGGGAGGGACCCTCTTGATTGTTATCTCTCAACTACCAAGTAGTTAGGCTAATTCCTGTGGGTGGTGGATTGCCTAATCAGGGATTCGCTCTGGGATTTAGGAGTGTGGAGGGTGGCTTCCAAGATGGTGCCCACCCACTTTGTTGAGGGTGACAATGACCTGGGGTTATTCATTAGTGTTCTTTGCCTCCCAGGCCTCCACTATAAGGCTGGTGTCTGGGATTCCTTTTCCAGAGCACAAGCATTGCTCAGACTGGTGTTATTGCTTTAGGTCCCAGGGCAAATGAGTCTGTTCAAGGGCCTATTGAGGGCTGGATCTTAGTGTCTACCTTTTTTCCAATTCCCTACTCTCACTTCCCTCTGGTCCTCAGTGCATGGATTCCAAGGGCTCCTCTCCACTGTTCTGGATCATAGGGTTGGGGTGTGGGGTGTTAAACACAGTCCTCTCCTCACTCCTCAGGGAAAAGTCCCGCACATTACAAATGTCCCAACTGTACTTCGATGTCCCTGCAAATGCAGTTTCTTCATTGGCAAGAGCATCTCTGTCTCACCCACTCCTCTGGGTGCTACCTTTTTATCCTTTGTTGTGGAAGCTCTAGTCATTGAGTTTCAGGTCTGCTTCTGTGAGGTTTAGTGTCTATTTAAGTGTAGATTTTTTGTGTTCTGGTGAGGCGATAAGCACAAGTTCCTCCTAATCCACCGTCTTGGTCCTACTTCTTCTACCTTAATACACAATGGAAAGTCACATCTTACTCCCTCATCCCAATCGCACTGTAAATAAATAGTTTGTTTATAAACTTTTAGATCTTTCTCTGTGTGATTAATAACCCTATGATGTGTATTTTGTCATTGTTTACAAATGGGGATTATATAGTCCACAATTCCTTGAAATAGTTTTTCCCCAGTTATTTAGTGCACATTCAATTTTGTTCCTTGTTCCAGTGATGTCCTCTACAGCATATTCTTTAAAATACAGAATTTAATCCAAAACCACCTATTGCACTTGGTTGTCGTGTCCATTTTTTTTTAGCCTCCTTTGATCTGGAAGCATTTCTCTGCCTTTCATGACTTGACATCTTGGGCCACAAACTGATGGAATTCAGATGTTGGTGTTCAGTGAGTGAGTGGGATCCGTGGGTTCCCTCTAAGAAAGGTTTTGGCAGATTTTTCCATTCAGCAGCACATGGTGAATTCCCTTACTTATTATGTTATCAGTTTTCTGTGTCTTCTTCTAGAATATAAGATCCAAACAGGGAGAGATCTTTGCTTTGTTGATGAATGTTCTTCTAGAAAAGGTCCTGGCACAAAGTATGGGAAATACTGAATCTATATATCTGCTTCTTAAGCTGATGGGAAGCGCACTAGCATCTAGGACGCTCAGAAAGGGACAGTCTCCTCTAGGAAATTGTTTCCCTTCAATGGCTCAGCTTCGATTGGAGAGGGATTCAGCACCAAGTGCCCCTGGACAGCTCTGCAAGCCAAACCTCACGGAACCTTTCCTCTAAGTTCAGAGTTTCTCTCCGGAACCACCTGGTGGCTGTACCGCGCAGCGGGAGGAACTATTTTCCCCTGCAGAACGGAGAGGTGGGGTCGCAGCATTAGTGGCAGCCACGGCGTCCAATGGTGTGGCGCGTTAGGCCCGTGGCTCTCTCGGAGGCCAATGGTCACGGGCGTGGGCGGGGCGTCAGCAGCAGCGCGCCGAGCTGGGGCCTCGGCCGGGACGGTGGCTGTGGGTCTAGACCGCGCGGCGGTTGAGCGGCGGCGGGCGGAGGCCCTGGGGAGGTACGTGCGGGCAGGGCCCGGGGCGGAGCGGGCGGCGGCCGATGGCCTGGCGGACGGGGGCGCCGGTTTCGGACGCTCGCCGTCGAATTCACCTTCATGGGCGAGACGTGTGGGTTTGCGTCCGGCTTCCCCAGCAGAGCGTGGCCGTCCCCTCCCGGCCGGGACCAGGCTGGCCTCGCTCTCCGCATCAGGCGCCCGTGTCGCGCGGGGCACACAGACGACGCCCAGTAAGTGCTGAACGAACGAATGAATGAATGAGCCAACTACCCCATCCTTCCTCGGCCCCAGCCAGTCAGCCCCTGGGTTGAGAGTCCAGGCCACCCTCGCCCCACTCCGCAGACTGAAGGAGGCATCTAGAGACCTGCCAGGGATTTGACTGAGCGCCTGTTGTGTGCTTGGCTCGGCGCTGGGTGTTGCTGGGTGGTCCAACTTGAGCACGACAGACTGCCTGCCCCCGCAGAGCTGGCAGTTGCCAGCAAGATAACATTCAAGGACTTTAAGTTATGTCGTTCCCATAGCGCAAATAGTGCTTAAAAATAGTAGCAGAGAAGGGGCTGGGGAGGGTTCTCTGACCGGTGAGATCTGAGCTGAGACTTGAAGAGCTCAAAGAAATGGGGGCAAGAGCTGTAAGATGAGGATGGGAGAACCTAGGACCTGGGAGCAACCAAGGTCCCTCTACTAACTGGCATTTTGGGCCCCAGAGTGTTCTATGTTGGCTCATTGAGTCATGGAAAGAGACCCACATACTTCTGCTCATCCATTCGTTCAGCCAGCGATTAGAGCACCTGTTCTGCTCCAGGCCTCTTAGTGGGTAGAGGGGATACAGTTTAAGGCACGGGTTGGCCAGGAGGTCCTTCTGAGGGGTATTCGAAGAAGGGAATTGAAAATGAGACATTGGAAGGTGGGAAGAGAAGTGTCCCAGGCAGAGAGAACTGAGGCAAATACCCTGAGGCAGGAGTGGGCTTGGCACATTCAAGGACCACAAAGGCCAGTATGGAGTGGGTGAAGCAGGAGCTGATGGTACAGCACCTTAGGCAGTGGGGAGTGGTTGAAGCAGCACTATTCAATAATACATTCTGCAAGGGTGGAAATGTTCTTTGTGTATACAGGGGCTGCTAGTCCCATATGGCTTCTGAGCATTTGAAATATGGCATAATGATAAAGAGCTGAATTCAACATTTTATCTAATTTTAATTAGTTTGAACAGGTATTTGTGACTTGTAGCTGTCATATTGGATAGTGTCACAGTGGAGAATTTTCTGCAAGAGGCAATGTTATGTACAAAATGAAAAAAAAAAAAAAAGGCAATGTTGTGTGCCAAGCTCAGAATTGAGTAAAGAAAGGGGTGATGGGCTTGGCTGCTTGAGCTGCTCAGTTAATCTCACGACTAACTTGGTTGTCCCTGGCATTCACAGTGGCTGGTCTGAGGCATGAACACCCAGCTGCGTAGTTGCGTCCGGTAGCACAGCGTGGACTGGGAGTGTGCATCCACACATGGTTTGGCCCTGCAGTGACTGGAGCAGCCTGGGCCGCCACCATGATGAAGCTGTTGGTGGCCAAAATCCTGTGCATGGTGGGGGTATTCTTCTTCATGCTGCTTGGCTCCCTGCTGCCTGTGAAGATCATTGAGACTGATTTTGAGAAGGCCCACCGCTCAAAGAAGATTCTCTCACTCTGCAACACCTTTGGAGGCGGAGTCTTTCTGGCCACGTGCTTCAATGCTTTACTGCCAGCTGTGAGGGAAAAGGTAAGTGCTGGTGGCAGCAGCCATGGCACCTACAGCCAAGGCTCTCTGATAGTCTTTTAAGGCTAACACCGAGCTTAGGGGGGGTCTTTGACTCTATGAGGACAATGAAAATAGGAAAGGAATTTGCTGTTCTTGTGGGTGGATTGATTCTTGACTTGGGCTTCCCAGCTGGTGGGCTCATTAGTCTTGCTGGGGGGCCAGCAAGATCACCCCCCCAGGTAGCTTACACTTTCCAGGGGCTGGTGGTCCTGCCCCTTCAGAGGTCCTTTATCATAACATAGCACACATTTATTGTCTCACAGTTTCTATGGTAAACACTTCCTGCTGGTGGTCAGGAGACCGGGCATGGCTTACTTAGCAGCTGTGTCCAGGCTCTCATGAGGCAGCAAAGTGTCCCCTGGGCTGTGGTCTCATCTCAAGGTTTGGTTGGAGATAGATAGGCTTCCAAGCTCACATGATTATGGTAAGGTTCATTTCCTTTCCAGTGGCCAGACTCAGGGCCTAGTTTCTCCCTGGTTATTGGCTGGGACTGCTTTCGGGCCCTTGCCTCCCGGGCCTCCCCATCATGACCTTTTTTCTTTATCGCCAAGCTGAGACCACAGTGGAATCTGCCTGTAGGACAAAAATTACAGACTTGTGTGACTCAGTGATAGCAGTCCCTCTGCTGTAGTATTTTCTTTGCTGTAGTGTGTCCCCACCCGTGCTCAAGAGGAGAGGCCACGTGCGGCATGGATAGCGGGAGGCAGGGACCATTGGAGGCCATCCTAACATAGTCCTCCAGTGACCTGTACTGAGCGCCCCCAGGTTGGCACCCAACATGACTCCCTTGAAGGGCATAGCTGGAAGGCCTTTGTACACTTCTCTCTCTTGGCCAGTTTTGATATGGAGATGGATTTGTGTTAGGTCATGTGCTCGGCGAACAGTCAGGATTTGCTGCTCTGCTCCCCATGGAAACAAGGAGATCCTAGATTTACCACCACATCCTTTCTCCATGTGCTGGGTATCAAGGAAGGAAGGTGTCATCTGGGATTTATTCATTGGAAGTTGTTAGTGTGGTGGGTGGAATTCAAATGTAACCCAAGATTCCTAGCTCCTGGTGGGCATGCCCTATATACCCTACCATCCCCATGAGCATGGTGGGGGGGGTGGCTGTAGCTATGAGATGTCACTGTTAGTGCAAGTTATCCTGCAGAAGGGATCTTGCTGATGTGATTGTGGTCCCTCGTCAGTTGACACTGAGTTCATCAAAGGGAGAGTGATTGGGTGGGTCTGGCCTAATCAGGTGAGCCTATAAGAGAGACCAGAAACAGCAGCAGGCCTGCACCTACTGGCCTCATGAGAGCAAGAGGCCATACTGCAAGGAGCAGAATGCCAGGGGAGAAACTGAGGGGGGCCTCTGGCAGCCAAGAGCAATCCCCTGCCAGTGTCCTGCCAGGAAATAGGGTCCTCAGCCCTACAGTTATAGGAAATCAGATCCTGCCACCCCAAGGGATCCTGTAAGTGGACCTGGGGTCTGGGTGAGGTCCCACCCCAGACCACACCTGCATTTAAGATGGACGTGGCCCTGAGCAGGCAGCCCTCGGCTGTGACCAGATTGCTCGTGTTCAGAGCCCTGAGGATGCATCTGTGTTGTTTGCTGCTGCTGAGCTGGTTGCTTCATTACACAGCACGGAAAACCCATACAGTGGCACTGACCATGGTTCAGAGTCCTCTGATGCCTTCCTCATGCCAAGCACCTCTTTAGGTCCCCACCCCCCGCTTTTTTCCCTGCATTCCCACAGTATCACCCCTCGTCATCCTCCTGCCTTAGGTCTGGACAGCAGGCCCCTTCTTCACACATGGCCCTCTCACGATCCCCCCAAAGCACTTCCATGCCATGCCCCTGCTCGCAGCCTTCCCATGCCTTGGTGGGTAAGGTCTCCCTCCTAGCCCTCCCTCAGCCCTGGCTGACAGTGCTTGCCTTGCACTCCAGAGTACAGGACACAATCTGTGACTCTTATGTGTCAGCCTCATCTTTCCTGACCATGTTCATCCCCTTAGGGGTAGCTAGTGTTTTTTCTGAGTTGGTATCTTCCCGAGAGGCACACGCGGGACTCCACGTGGGGGTTAGTAAATAGCGCAATTATTTCTCCACGGAAACACGCCTGTTGCTGTACAGGGCTCTCAACCCGGGTTGACTCTGCCCCCAGGGGACACTGGGCAGTGTCTGGGGACATCTGTGTTATCATGACTGGGGATGTCCTGGCACTGAGTGGGTGGGGACCAGGGATACTAGTCAACCTCATGATTACCTTTCCCAAGCATCAGCACCCCATGATGCCAAGGTGGCCAGACCTCGTGGCTGTCCTCTGGATGGCCCAGACTGGCCTGGTGGAGAGCCTTGTGTGAGTGTGTAGTGAAGGCCGTGCTGGGAGAGAAGTGGGTGCGGTCAGTTGGAGGGAGGGGCCAGGGCATCTGTTTAAATAGCGTACTTGGAAATTAACATAAGCCAAGACCTGAAGCATGAGATCAGCCAGCTGGTTGTACACTGGGGAGGAAGAACATTCTAACAGAGCCACTGGCAAGTTCTGAGTTCCAAAAGCTAGAAAGAGCTCAATGTATGCAGCGCGCTAGGAGTCCAGGTAAACTGACCTACCCCTCACCTCTCTAGACAGCACCTACCATTACTCTCCGACGTGGCAGCCGCTCGCTGAATATGGCTTGTCAGCATTCAGTGAATCACAGTGAAATACAGCGCAGCATTCTAGTGCTCAGCCACATCAGGCATATTTCACGTCCTCAGCGGACATGGGTGGTGTGCCTTTTGTAACACAGAGCTCAGGTAAAGAATGCTTTCCTTGTCCAGAAGCTTCTAGTGGACAGCCCTGACTTGGAGGATTCCCTTGGGGTATAGCCAAATATGGTGGTTCTCAGCGTGTTCACCCAGGAGCTTGATGTGATGGGAACTGATGGGAAGCAGAGCTCACACCACTGAGTTATATGGAAGCAAATGCCAGATAGGCATCCGGGCGAGAAAGGATAGCTGAAGTCATAATAGTCCAAGGTCAGTGTGTCGGCCAGGCCGGTCGCTCCCAGTCGCTGCCCAGTCTAGGACACCTTAATTACAGCTAACATGGCCCTGCCTCCAAATAAGGGCGTGTTCTGAGGTTGCAGGTGGCCATCTCTTTTGGGGACCACAGTTCAGCCCACTATTCATTTTTATATTATTTGGTTGATGTAGAAGATGTAATGGGAAGCCCCATGATTCCCTGTCCCAGTCATCAGGGAGGAGCTGCCTTCTCCCCTTTTTATTTTTTTATTATTATTTTTTAGTTATATATTTTTAAAGATTTATTTATACAAGAGCTGGGGTACAGGCCAGAGGCGCAGGAGGGTGAGAGGATTCACCAGAGACAGAGTGGGGAGCAGAACAGGCAGAAGGACCAAAGACACTGCTGGGGGGAGCAGCGGGCGAGACAGGAGAGGTCTGCCGCGCCATGTGGGAATCTCCCTGGCCAGCCGGGAATCGAACCCATGCTGCAGAGGCTGCGGACAGCTTCACAGCGCGGCGCTCAACCCGCTGCGCCACCGGGGAGGCCCACTCCCCCCTTTTAAAATCTGTCTCATGTGAAGTATTTCTGGTGACATCTGCTGAGTGGTGGTGAGGGGTCCCAGCCGCCCGCCTCTGAGCGCCCCTCCTTCCCTCTCCCCTCCCTCTGTCCCTGTGCCCCGCTCCAGCTGCAGAAAGTCCTGAGCCTCGGACACATCAGCACGGACTACCCGCTGGCGGAGACCATTATGATGCTGGGCTTCTTCATGACCGTCTTCCTGGAGCAGCTTGTCCTGACCTTCCGCAAGGAGAAGCCGTCCTTCATCGACCTAGAGACCTTCAACGCCGGCTCAGACGCTGGCAGCGACTCAGAGTACGAGAGCCCCTTCATGGGGGGCAGCCGGGGCCATGGGCTCTACGTGGAGCCCCACACCCACAGCCACCACGGGCTGAGCGTCCAGGAGCTGTCTCGCTCCAGTCCCTTGCGGCTGCTCAGCCTGGTCTTTGCCCTGTCAGCCCACTCCATTTTTGAGGGCCTGGCCCTGGGCCTGCAGGAGGAGGGGGAGAAGGTGGTGAGTTTGTTCGTGGGGGTAGCCATCCACGAGACACTGGTGGCTGTGGCCCTGGGCATCAGCATGGCCAGGAGTGCGATGCCCCTGAGGGACGCAGCCAAGCTGGCCATCACCGTGAGCGCCATGATCCCCCTGGGCATCAGCATCGGTCTGGGCATCGAGAGTGCGCAGGGTGTGCCCAGCAGCGTGGCTTCGGTGCTGCTGCAGGGCCTGGCAGGTGGCACCTTCCTTTTCGTCACCTTCTTTGAGATCCTGGCCAAGGAGCTGGAGGAGAAGAGCGACCGGCTGCTCAAAGTCCTCTTCCTGGTGCTGGGCTACGCCATCCTGGCCGCCATGGTTTTCCTCAAGTGGTGACCAGCCTGTCGCCGGTGTGGCTACCCCAGCCCGCCCGCCAGACCCCGCCGGGAATCCAGGCCAGATCCAGGCCACATCCCCACCTCTGTCTCCCTCCAGGGGGAGAGCTCAGGCCCCTGGTGCTGCCAGCACACAGAGGGCCGCCTCGGGACCAGGTTGCCCCCAGAACCTACACCCCAGCCTTGGAGCACTGCTACTACTTTTAAAAATACTTAAAAGTATTCACCAAAGCTGTGTGGCCATGTCAACCTTGGGCAGTGGGGGCTGGCATCTCCCTCGAGGTAGAACTGGACATCTAAATGGGGCTGGGGGTCGGAGACCCTCCCCTCACACCTCACCCATGGACAAGGACAAGGACAGGAGCGAGCCCAGCTCCGCCTGGCCACTGAACCTGCTCGGATCCAGGTCTCTGGCCTCTGCCCCTGACTGACCACTCACAGGTGCCGCCAGCACTGAGCTGCTTCTGTTCCCCACAGAACTGCTCTGAACCCTGCCCCTGAGTCCGTGCCTCCTGGATACCACAGGATCCCCCTCTTTGTCCCCTGCCATCTATTGTGGCCCCCTGGGAGTGTGGAGGCTTCTCTCCAGGGTCTGGGTCTTCTGGGCCAGAGTGACTGTCTTGGTTCCCAAAGGAAACAGACACGTGGGCAGGGGAGACTCACGGACAGGGTCTGGATGTGGGGAGGTTCCCTACCCTGTGTGCACCAGCAGTCTCCAGAGGAAAATGGACTCCTGCAGGCAGTGGAGCTGGGACAGTGCAGTTCTCACCAGCAGACACATGCATGTGAAGCAGCCCCACTGGATGGTGCAGGGAGTGGGGACTAACAGCCCAGTTGGGCTGGTATAGCTCTTGGTGCCAGTATGGAAACCACCTCTCCAGGGCTTCAGCTGTTGTCCTAGCAACCCAGCCACATGCCTGGGGAATGAGACCATGAAATCATTCCTGGGGATTTGCTCAGCCTTGCTGGGAGCCTTGCTGCCAGCAGAGGCGTGGTGGGGAGCAGAGTCGGCAGCACTGGACTGGGTCCCTTGCCTGCTTTGCCGCGCCTCACGCTGGCCTCAAGCCCAGCATCCTGCCTCTGGGCCTGAGCGTCTCCCCACTTTGTCACTGGCTGCTTGGGCCTGCTTGTTACTGATCCCCTTGCTGCTTCCTCTCTCATCCACTTGGCTTGCACACAAGATCCCTGGTGTGTGCCTTCTAGACTCCCAGATTCCTCCCTGTGCCTCCCACTGCCCCCACTGACACTGGCAACACTAGGAAGAGCAACTGCAAAGGGTCCATTTGTGCTCCCCACAAAGATGGGCCCCTCTGGCCTGTGGCCCTGGGCTCAGTGGGACCTCCGGTTCACCACTCTGGCCACCTTGGGCATCCCAGGACCAGCTAATTGCGTGTCTCAGGTGGGTGCCCTGGGGACTGGCCTGCTGCCACCTGCTGGTCTCCACCAGCCCAAGATTCTCGAAGACAACCTTTTCCACAGCTTTGGCCTCTTTCAATGTTGAAAGTTATGGGGAGCAGGGATGATGGGGAAGGCTGCTTCTGCTTCTGTGTCACTTCATGCAACTCCTGGGTCCCTGGGATGTATGTCTGAGATGTCCCCACTTCCTCTCCTTTGGGAGATGTCCCCACTTCCTCTCCACTTCCTTCCTCCATCCTGTTGCTGTTGGAAGTACTTGACTATTGAACTTCTGACTTATACCAGGGACAGACCTGGCACGGCCTGAACCTCCCCTGTACTGGGAAAGCACCCTGTGTGTAGGAGCACCCTGACCCAGTGTTTCCAACCTCCACCTGCCCCCTTCACTCCCCTGGCTAAGTGGAAAGTTTCACTAGTTTGGGTTCTACGTGGAGCAAGTGTGTGGGTCTTTGTAGAGCCCCAGATTCCTGCTGGGGTGGGAAGGTGGAGTCAGGGCCTCCCTTCACAGGGGATGTATCCTGTGGAGTGGGCTGGCTGGGGAGAGGGTGGAGGCATCTGGGCCTCCCACACAGGAAGACAGACCCTGTGCCCTGAATTCAGCAGAGGGGCAGAATTGTGTGCTCCAGGGGTACCCAGCTCTGGATCCTCATCACTGTAAGAGGCACACACATTGGGGTCCCACCCTCCCATCAGCCATCAACTCCCTAAGGTAACCCTGGGGTTAGTACAAACCTGCCTGCCACTCCCTGGATATGTGGTGGGGGAGGACCCGCACCCCTATTGGAACCTCCACAGCCACATCACTCCCTTACTCTGAGCTGACTTCCCAGGCGGAGCAGAGCCTCAGGATGTGGAGACCTTGAGTGCCCTTCTCTGCCCTCAGATGTGGCTTTCTCCTGGGCCATGGCCATGCTTGGCTGCCCAGCAAGCTGCTTCCGGACCCCCCGGCAACCCTGAGAAGTTGGAGGGACTGGGCCTGCCCCCAGCCGCTCCTGGTCACGCCCTCGTCTGCTGTGATCCAAGACTCAGCCCTGGGATCTGCTTCGGTGTCTCTTGGCCAGTTTGGTCAGCTTTCCCCACTTGGGGCAAGGGTCAGCGTGTGTCCCTATCAGGGTAAGAGCATCTTGCCCTCTGACTGAGATCTGGGGGAGCTCGGGTCCCTCCTAGGGTGGAGCGTGATCTAGACCAGGGTCTTCAAAGGCCAGCACAAAGATTTCATCCCCACCTGCTCTGCCAGTCCTCTTGGAAAAGACTGAAGATCAGTCACTGCCTGGGGCCCTGGACCAACCCCGGCCTGCAGCCAGATGACACAAAGCCTCCATCCAGCTCTGCAGCTTGGCAGCATCAAGGACAGTTGCCTGCGGAAGCACAGTCCTGTTTCTGAGGGGTCTTGTTAACACAGGTTCTTAGTTCGGGTAATTCTGCCCCTCCACTCCTGAACACAGCAATGCCTGGGGACATCTGACTGTCATGACTGGGGTGTTCTGCCCGCAAGTGGGTGGGGGCTGGGGATGCTGCACAATTCCCAGGACACCCCCTCAGAGAGTGACCTGGCCAATGTCGGCGGGGTGGGGGGAGGGGAGAAAGCCCACCCGAATTCATAGGAAGACCTGGGACCAATGGTGGTTTGCAACCACGCCGGGTGCCTTTGAGATCTCACGTGTGACTGTGACGGAGGAGCAGGACACAGATGCCTGCTGGTGGGTTGTTAAACACACCTGGCAATGACGAGGCACAGCTCCTGTTTGCTCGGACACGAGCGCTCCCAAATAGCACAAAGTTTTCAGTTTAAAAACCAAAACCCGGAGCTCAAAGTACAAGCACCGCCTTTGTTGGATGCACGGACTGAGTCAAGCCACGCGCGGCTGCTGGTCCCTCCTGGGCGGCTCCACTGGGACCAGGCGCCCTCCAGGTGGGTGTCACTGGGGGATGGGGGCACCATTCGGAGCTCTGCAGGGGAGACCTCACTCAGGACTGGCCCCAGCCGGCCCGAGCCCGGCGGTACCCCTGGCTGGGCCGCCACCCTCCAGAAGCTGCTGGTAGTCGGGGTTCAGGGCGCTGATGACAGCCGCATGGAGCCCGCTGGGTTCCCCTCCTAGGTCTGGAGACAAAAGGGGGGGAAGTTACGAGGCGGCACCGAGGCTTCATGGATTGAATCAACTGTAATAATAGTGTGCTGGGGCTTCTGTTGTCTGCTGTTTGTGTTTCTGGCGAGAAGTTATTAGTGTGGGGCGGGGAGCCGGAGCTCTAGCTCCCAGCTCATCTGCGCCTTCTGGGGCCCTAGGAAGCAGATGATGGGATGGTGGCCCTCGGCCTGCAGCGTCTCAGACTTGCCCTGGCCCCCACCTCTCGACCCTCAGCCTTGCCAGGTAGAGGGACACCCGTCCCTCCTGTCCCAGCTACACCAATGCCTCCCTGAGCTGTCTGAGCTTTGGAGCCGAGCCAGTGACCCCCCCATCTGACCTTCCCAGAGCCAGCCTGGGGACTGCTGCAGGGCTGGGTGTCTGTGAAGACTCGGGAGATCTCCACTAGTCTCCTGGCGCTGAGGCCGGGTTGGACTGGCGCAGGAAGACCACCCCCACCCCTCCCCATTCCCCACCTCTAGACGTCTGCCGCTCCTGGGCGGGACCAGCTGAGCGAGCTTCTGGCCAAGGGCCAACGTGATGGCTAGCTGCCCAGCCTGGGGAGAAAGAACAGTGGTGCGGAAGTGGGTCCTTCAGAGCTCCCAGTTCCTTGGAGCATGGTAGAGGGACTGGCTGGAGTAGTTCGGATTTCATCACATAGGCCTAGTAAAAGGCCCCTGGGACGGACTCCCCCGCCCCCCCTCCCCTGGCTCTGGACATTTGAGGCTGTCATACATTGTAGCGGGTGAGGAATGTTCCTGGCTTTGAGGTGGGGTTGGAGAAGCTGCTGCTGCCTTGGGGATCTAGTTTGACATCTGTTGTCCTAGTTCAGGGGCTGCCCCTTCTGCACTGCCAGGTCATTCTGGTGCAGCCTGGGAGCTGGATGGTATTGACCGGCATCCCTGGCCCCTATCATCTTAATGCCAGGAACACCCTTAGTTGTGATCACAGATGTCCCTGGACATGGTCCAGCACCCCTGGGCGGGCAGAAGCACTCCCTGGTGAGAGGGGTGAGGCAACGCACATTCTAGGGAGGGAGGGATGTTACATCCACATGTCATGCAATGTTGGTAGCACTAAGTGGCCCGAAGACAACAAGGCAAGGTGAAAATAGAGACCATTTCAGTCGTGTGGCCAGGGAGGAGCCCTCTGAGGGCTACATTTGAGCCCCAAGAAGATGAAGAAGAGCTTTTTTGGAAGAGGGAGCAGCCAATGCAAAGACCCTGGGGTCTTTATTATAATCCTTTTATCTCACTGACCGAGCAGCGCTGGTTGCTGGTGTCACAGGGGCTTATCCTGTCTGCTGCTGCAAAGGGTTCTGTGACCCCGATCCTCAAAGTGGTGATAACACATCCCCTCATTTCAGCAGCAACCCCAGGCTGCCTCCAGGGACAGACACGTGCCTCCAGTCAGCCCGCAGAAGCCAGGCCTGGTGTCGGCAGCCAGTTTGTTTCTGAAAACTGGTTTGTAACAAATGATCTCATAAAGTGTTGACACCAAACTTGAAAACCAACCAATAAAAAACATTTGTAGGTCAAACTGAATCTGTGAGAGGCGTTGCTCTCAGCTCTGCTTCATCTGCATAATTTCACCAATCCTGGGAGCAAGATTGCTGCCTTCCTCCCTGCACAGCTGCTGCTCTGGGCCCGAGCATTGGGGCAGGAAGACGCATCTCAGGGTGCAAGGTCAGGCAGGAGCTGGAACTTTGCAGGTGGACAGCTACACCTGGCAGGGAGAGGATCTCTGCAAGATGGGGGGCGGGGGGAGAGCAACTGAAAGCTAGGTGTGTCCCTGGGCTAATGGCCAGGGCCAGCAAAAAGCCAACAGACCCTAGTTTCAGCTCCGATCTGGCCTCTTCCCTGCTGGGCCACCCCGGGCACCCATCGCCTTCTCTGAGCCTCTGAAGTGAGCAGAGCTGGTGGTTCCCAGCACATACCTGACCCCTCTCACAGAGGCTAGGGCTCGCTCTTGACACCCATGGGGAAGGAGGTACTGTTGTCTTAGTTTGGGCTGCTCCAGGTGGGGGTGCTGGAAAGAGAGGAGGGGACTCTGGGCCTGCCCTCCTCTGGCTCAGGAGGCCAAAAGCCTGGCCTGAGATCTATAAATAGCAGCCGCAGAGTGGAACCATTGTGCCCACGCTGCTACGCATGAGTCAGCCTGCCCGGCCTGGGCTGGTGCCCGGAGAGCCAGCCAGAGAGCCAGCCCAGTGCCGGCTGGTCACTCTGGAGACGGAAGCAGGCAGAGTCGGAGCCTGGGGATCAGGCTGCTGTCTCTGAGCGCCTGTGTGTAGGTAGCTGCCCTGCCCAGTTGCTTCCAGCAGCCCCGAGCAACAGAGCACCAGTCCTCATTCATATGTGGGAAACTGAGGCTCAGAGGAGTGCTTGCCTGGGATCGCCTGCACGATGGCCAGGGCCCTCTCCATCTCTGGTGCGAATGCCCTGCGATGAGGGATAGGAATCAGGCTGCTCCTGAGGTGCCCTGCACCCCTCAGGCCAAGGATTGGCTGGAGGGAGATGTGCCCAGGAAAGACATAGGAGGGGGCTTGGGG